AAAAATAATTTTAGAGTATAGCCCTAAAAGAACGGTAAAACTTTGCTTTCTGATTTTTTTCTGTCTCTAATAATGACTAATAAGATATCGAGAACGACGCACTTAGTGACTCATCCTGTATATTACATTACATACATACTCTAATTGACCACTTTTTAGGCCTTGTAACCACAGTTTATTTTTAAAATTCCTATGAGTTGTTGCCACGTTATTCCAATTTTCTTGAATTTTTTTGACAATGAAAATAGGAATCGTACTGGGATTCTTTTTGAATAATAAATCTGTTTTGTGCAAAGATAATTAAAGATACGCGCTTTGCCGTGTTACAAATATGTACAACTGAGTTTTAATATGCAGAGTGTTCATAGAAAATGAAATTATACAGGGTGCTGAAAAAATGGCGCACCAAGTATAAGTTCTGGAAATATCATTAAAAAATTCTTTACGTTCACTTACAGAAACAAAATATCGATATAAACTGATAAATCAAAAAACTCTAAAAAATAGCCACATTTGTCCAATTCATCCTAAATAATTTTTAAGTTTTTTGTTATATTATAAAATGAAGAAAACTGTAGATGAAAACAAGATACCTCCAAAAATTATTTTGAATAATGGAAGTCTAATTGATTTCATGCATCGAACACTAAGTAGAATGTGGTGAAATATTGAAAATAGAAGTTAAATTTTGAAGGGCTATATTTTCTACATTTGGGCCCAAGAATTTTTTAAATTATTTTTTCTCTGTTCTACAAACAACCCCCAATGACGTGTCATAGAGTTGGTACGCCATTTTTTCAGCACCCTGTATATAAATAGAAAATCCTGTATTTTGTTACTGCATCTTATTCTATTTTTTGTTCTCTTTCTTTTATATACATTTTTTAAGAGATACACCGACGTGTTGAAAGACCGAGAACTAAGATATACTCGTATAATACTACTGGTGTTCTATTTGAAAAAACTGAAATATGTATGTATTGATATTGGAAACTTGTAATGTATGTAAAAATATACAGGGTGTCCTATTAAAAACAAATAAGTTTGCTATGCCTTCAAAACAAACCACTACGAAGATACAGTGGAAAATAATTTTAATGTATGCTACCCAATAAACCGTAATACTTTAGTCCGCTTTTTCTATTTCGCGCGCTTAATGACTCATCCTGTATATTAGAAACGGAAAAAAAACATTCTATTATTTTTAAAATTTTCAGTAGATACTTCTTAGTATATCTACTGTAATAGAATAGATATAGATATTTTTATCTAGTTTGATTCAAAACTCATTACTTTCAGCGGGTTTGAGAAAAAATAGTCGTCCTGTCTACGTTATAATTAGGCTTCGGATCTTAGGTTTTTTTGCCTTTTTATATCTACTTCAGGTATTGCAGCGAAATTTATATATTTATCTGAATTTAAAAAATTCTGTTTATTTAACGCCCATTTATTACTACCTAAAATGCCTAATTTACCGTTAGAGACCTAAAGTGTTAATTAAACGACCTAATTGTAAATTTTAAAAGGCTTATTAATATTGGATTTTCCGTGAATTCATTACTTTGGCTGGCAGATTGTTTAAAAATGGGTTGTAAACAACGCCCTTGAATGGTACGGGTTGGTGTCGCCAACTGACAACGCTGGCCTTCATTTCATTTAGATTATAGGCAGAAGGAGGTGAATCTCTGAAGAAGCATTTTACTTTAGAAGTTTATTGTTAGTGATACTGAGTGACTTTGCGTGTTAGTGAGTGTGCTGGGGCCGGTTTTGATTTTTGTGCATACAGTAAAGAATCAAAATGCCTAAGGTAAAATCATCCATGAAAGATAAAATCAAATTATGGTTAGGGAATAATTTGGACACTAATTTTTAATTTCCTTCTTCAACCAAAGACAATGAGTTATTCTGCAAAGTGTGTGGAAAAGGTGTAAGTAAACATTTAAAATATTGAAGCTTGAATTATGTTCACATTTTTGTTTCCTAGTTTAAGTGCGAAAAAAAATCACACTTTGAACAACACTGCAGTGGCGATGCACATAAAAAGAACAAGAATAAATCCAGTAAACAGACTTTATTAAACATTAGTTCCGACAATGATTTTACGCAATTTTGCACCGATTTATGTACGGCATTTACCGCAGCAAATATTCCATGGAATAAAGTTAGTTGTCCTGAGTTTAAAAATTTTATGCATAAATATACAGAAAGGCATTTACCCTCAGAAAGCACTCTGAGAAAAAATTATTTACCAAAAGATTATGATATGGTGAGCACTAAAATTTTTATTTCAAAACTTTTTAACATAAATTTTATAATTTACAGGTAATTAAACAAATTAGAAATCTATTGGTAATAAAGTAATAATGATATATGGATTAGCGTCGATGAGACGACGGAAAGATTAGGAATATACATAGCCCATTTAGTAATTGGAATGTTATCTTCTGAAGAAGTTGGCCGTCCATTTCTACTAGCTTTGAAGCAGCTTGATAAAACTAATAGCAACATAATCTCGAGATTTATAAACGAATCCTTGGTTGTGATGATAATTTTAAGCATTGAAATTATTATAATTTATTTAATTGTTAATTTGTAGCTTTATTGTGGCCAAAAGGAACTGAACACAAAAAAGTTAAATGGTTTGTATCAGATGGTGCTTCATACATGATCAAAACTGATACTAATTTGAAGGTGTTTTATGAAAATATAACACATTTAACATGTATGGCACATGGGTTACATTTAGTGTCTGAAACAATTAGACTAAATTAACCAGATGTCAATGGGATAATTAGGAATGTTAAGAAAATCTTTTTAAAAGCACCAATAAGAGTAGAGTTTTATAAAAAAAGTTTACCAAATACACCTCTTCCACCTGAACCTGTATTAACCAGGTGAGGCAGTTGGATTCAAGCAGCATTGTTTTATGCAGTACACTTTGATGTTTTAAAACAAGTCAGTAAATTTATAATGGTTTTTTTACTATCATTCTTATATTGACTATTTTTAGGTTGTAATGTCATTTCAAGATGCACAAACCATTAAAAAAGCTCAAGAATTCCTGAATAAAGCAACCGTTAAAAATGAACTCTTGTACATTAAAACTCACTTTAAAATTATTGCTGATGCAATAGAACAATTAGAAACTATAGGTTTAAAATTAAACCAAAGTATGGAAATTGTGGAAAAAGTGTATACATCTTTAAAAAACACACCAGGAAAGGTGGGGGAAATGGCGTTCCAAAAATTATGTTCTCTATTAAAAAACAATCCAGGATACGATTTTATATGTTCAGTAAATAACGTAATTTGCGGTAACTGAAATGCTACCAACATAAATGAAAACGTAGGTTGTTCAATATTTAATTTTGCACCCATCACTTCTTGTGATGTGCAACGCACGTTTTCAAAACTTAAAAGTGTTTTAAGCGATCAAAGGTGTAAATTTACAAACGAAAATTTAAAGAAATATATAGTTTGCTTTTGTAACTCATTTTAAATACCTGAATTAATATTTTATTTTTATTAAATACGACTTGCTTTAATTTGATCACTATTTTTTTGCGATAACTTAGAAGTAGTGGACATAACTATAGATCGTTTATTTATTTAAGCATTTTTTTGTTTGTTACACAAAATATTTGTTTCTATAATGTTTTGTTTAATGTTTTTTTTAATATATATTTTTTTGATGTATGCTTTTTCGTTGAGCAAATATTTTTTCCTCCAGGTTTTTAACCTAAACTAAGACTTTTATAACCTAATTCGTCAATTTTGGGACCTAAAAATGTCTCCTTTTATTCATGTTTTAACGACCTAAAATCCGAAGCCTAGTTATAATAAAGGTCACTAGTATCATATCCCTATATCTTATGACTTGCCAATTTTCTCCATTTTTGAGTATCTACTTCTACACCCTAAAAGGTATAATATGAAAAACAAAATTACCAATAAATCGCTGTTTTCATAGGTACGAAATATTTTTGATATGATAACATTTTCTAAATAATGATTGAACTTTAGCACAATTCTGACGTTTGAATTTTTGGAATCTCATTATCGTCACTGCGTACTAGTATCAGGGAACGTGGAGTGTGCGATAAAAAGTCCATTTATTAGTCATTGATTAACTATTAGCAGTAGTAATTTACTTGAAAAATGATTATATATAATGAACGATTTCTTTAGTAAACAGCAAAGTTCCCATTAACGACCATTAACATGGTCGATAAATTGATTCAAAATTAGTTATAGAAAGAGTAATTTGAGACTTCAATCAACGAAAAATATTTCTTTTTTTTTATATATCTAAAAATACATACATATATACCAAAAATTAACAATATTCTAGCAATAGAAATAGGAAAAACTAAATTCGACTTGTTCTAATTTAATTAGTTCTGATTATAATTACAGTTTTCGAGAAGTCACTACCCTGTGCACGCGCTTACAAAATAACATATTTTATTATTTACCCATTTTATTTTTTCATAAGTGTCAATCAGAGATAACACTTGAGCTTAATTAACTCTACGAATAATACATACACTCTGCAATAAACTTGTCCAAATTAATGGATTTTTGTATTATAATTAAAAATATATCTGCTATATTTTATCATTTAGATTGGTGCTTTGTCACTGTTGTCTGATATTACCTATATTACGATTTCTTAATTTCGGCGATCTGTCAGTAAGTTGTCAAAAGACGATACAGACGCGAAAACCTGCAATTTCTTGTTCTACGAATTTCCAATTGCACATAAAAACCAGCCCCTTCTACAATATTTCAGTTAGTTCCTGAAATAAAACCGAATTTCTCCCGAAACTTTTTTCTTTCCTCCACACGTCCTTTTCATTTTTTTCAATTTCCTCTTCAATTCCTGTAAGACCTCAGATCAAAACATTCCCACTAACACACTACCCTCATTATTCACGCCCGTCAACAAAACCCAGGAAAGCGCTTTCCGCCTTTCCTTTTGAAAAAGGCGTCGTACTCGCTTGCAATTCTCAATGAGCTTTGGGCGTGTGTGTGTCCGTGGGCGTTCATTGATCCTGTGAGTCCTTATCACAGCGGCTCGACGGGGATCAACATGGCTGCTACCTGAATTCCTCAAGTGTCCGAATCGCCCAGTTCCCGACGGGAAAAGCGGTTTGTGATCGCCTCCGTGCACCGGGTGTCCACGTCATCGGCCCATCGTACCATATGGTGGAGCGCAGCAGGAACCAGCTCGGTATGTCGCTCAAAGCGTCATTCTTCTATTCGATTGATCCTAGTGTCGGCAGGATGGCAGCCGACGATAGCATGGACGACGACGTGTTCGAGGATATCGATAGTTTGAGAGTTTCGGGGAAGAAAGGCAACACCCCCTCTCCGACGGGCTACAGGGATTACAAGCCCCCAGCTGAAGTTCTCAAACTGTGCCAGAGCGATGTTATCGAGGACAAGGAGCAGATTGTGCATAAGGTAAGGCTGGGTAATGTGGTTATGTGGTTCTTTTATAGGGACGGAGAACGATTTTTTCGTGGAAATCGGGAATTTGACCCCAACATATGCTGGCTTGCTTTTGTCTTTAGTTTAAACTAGTCGAACTAGGTTAAATTTTCGACATGGGGATTTCAACAGGTCTTTATGTTTATGACTTGTTTAGAGACTTGTGTGTTCGATGAATATTATTATTAATGAAATTATTATTTAATAATTCCACAGGACGCATTGAATGTTGAAAATTATTGTTTTTCATAACGTCTTATCAAGACATAATTATGTTTCCATATCAACAGAAGTGTTGTGTGATATAAATATATTAGATAATATTTTTAGTTAAATTTTTTAAACGTTCGGAAAAATAATGACTGTATTGCAGGAAGTTTGGTTACGTCAAAAATTATGTAATTCTGAAACATAGTTTTATATTTATGTATATTTTTTGAAATAATACTTGCATTTAACTTTGGTTCGATACAGAGCACAAAAAATGTCAGGTCAGGTGAGGTCAGGTTGTTGTGGCTCTAACCGAATGCGCTGTCGCCCTGTCTTGTTGAAAGTAACCTACTCTTTCATCATTGTGAAGTATGTATTTATAGAAATAAATAGATTACTCATGAAAACTGTTAAATTTATAAAAGGGAGGTTCTTAATTGGTTACTAGTTATCAGCATTGGGGACAGATACTTTTAAAAGTATGTATCTAGATACAGATAGAAGAAAACAGATACTTTTTGAAGCTTTGGCGAATAAAATAACTGAAAACATGTTTATGTATTTTTTTATGTATTGTTTAATGAATTTTTTAAAATTAACAACATTTCGAACGTATTGTCATCTAAATTATTTCTTCTTGGTGTCAGAATTTGGTTTCCACTACTAAACACCCGTTCCACAGGTGCAGAAGAAGGGATTGTGGTATTAAATTTACAAAATAAACATTTCACTGTAGCATAGTTATTCAAGACTGAAAAATCTTTTCTTTTTTCCTGCAAATAGGCCATCGCTTCGCTGTTTAATGTATCGCAAATTGTGCAATATTTATTACGTACGCTTAAAAAGAATATTTTTTTTTATTCCCATACTACAGGGCCCAAATTGTGTTTGGGTATATCTAATAAGTATCTCCAACATTAAAATTAATATTTCAAAGGAATACGGGAAATGATTATTCTGTGCTGAAGGTCTGTTGTCGGCAACCTGTCATAAATTATTATTCTTCAATATCGGCTTACGATGTTTTTACGACCATGTCCGGTAATCGTCTATCCCGGTGCGGCAGGTATATACATTTTAGGAAGAATTGCTTGTTCCGTTTAAGGCAAAATAAGTACAATTTCTTAGAAAGGTATTGAAACCCCTTATAGGATCAAAGGCTGCCTGGCAGGCCGGAATCACCAGAGTACAACTTAAATTTTCAGATTTTTGTTGAAACTCATTTTATTTTAATCTCGTTTCACGATTTCTGAGAATATATCACGATAAATTATTCTACCGAGAGTTGTAAAAATATTAATTTTATTGTTCAAGATTTACACTTAAACATAATCGACACATTCTAGGGCAAAACAGACCTGCCAAGCTCGCCTCGTGTTAAGTCCAACAATGAAAAAGTGAAGAAATGACACATGTGGCAACAGGAAAAGTTGCTACATTTGTCTGAAAAATAAAGGTACAAAACAGTAACAAATATGCGATTTAAGCGAGAGAAATATATGTATTGAACATTCGAGTAGTTGATTACAGAACTAATTTGTGCTAATTGAAAAAATTAATCATTATGTAACCGGCAATTATTATTTTCTAAAAATAATAACATACCTTAAACAAATATTTTTACTATTAAAATTACTCTTATTTAATAACACAAATACAACCAGCGGGCCTACCGGACCCGGGTTGCTCAGGTACACAGGTAAAATGCATTGCCCCGATAAGCGTAAAACGCAGTGAATAGTGAATTGTGGTTTATGGTTTTTAAAATACCATCCTACCATGGCTTAGATTTATTATCCCTCAGGATTATATTTAAAGATGTATAAGTACTGAAGGCTACAATGTAGTAAATGATGGTATCTAAAATATGAAAATTTCCGTGACAGAACACTATTACCTCTTACCTCTATTTTTGTTTATGTGACCAAAATCACCAACATGAAGTATCAAAAATTACTACTAGTATAACTCAACTAATAAACTACTGAAAAAAAAGTGAAATAAAAAATGTATCTGTATCTGCGCCATTAATTTTGTATCTAGATACAGATAATTTGTGCTTAAATTCGATTTTATCTAGATACAGATACTAGATACCCAAAAATGTATCTAGATACTTTATTTAGATACAAGTATCTAGATACTGCCCAACACTGCTAATTATGAAATTATTTATACCAAAAAGAATACTTACAAAAATCAAAGTCGAGGAGCTAGTGACGTCACTTTGATGCAGTGTTAAATAAATCTCGCTTGAAATGTACAGTATAACATGCTTTTACCTCTGATTTAATAGTCCACCTTTACTTTAACTTACTTACACAAGTTCTCTCAGGAATTACAAAGTTTCAGAGGAGGCTAATATTGATTACAAAATACTGATTAAAGTTTGTTTGTTCACCTTCCGGAAAGTCGTTCACGTCATTTTAACCAGTTATTAAATGTTTGTTGAAAATACGCGCTGAACAGTAATTTTAGTTCAATTTCAGTAATATACGTTTATTTTTATGGTTGATTAGACAGTATATGTAAAAAATTATGCATGAAGCGATTTGTTTAATCGATTCTACCAAAAACTGTTGATTTAAATTTTCCGAAATTTGTGGACACAGTTATTTTATGATTCGTGTTATATACTGGAATTAATATAATATAATATTTACTTTCAGCCAAAAGTTGATTTCAAAAAAAGTTCATTAAAAAAATTGGTGAAACGTTATTTTGACATAATTTCTCTCTCTCGTGAAGTACAATAAAGTATATCGATCTTTTTTGAAAAATTATAAAATTTGATTTTGCGAATGTAATTTTTTTATGAAAACCCTAGAGGTTAAAATAAAGATCTGTATGAAATGTTAAAGTAAATGTAGAGAGGAGGGTTCTATTGCCAACTCAAACAGTACTTGTTAATCACGGTGTATATAATTTGAATTATAAAATTTTGTCGGTTTCTCAAACTGTTTACATATTTTCTTGTGTCGCCTCCTTAAATTGATTAAACGCATCCAAACGAACATCATTTTCCTAATATACGTACAAAATTTGACAACAATCGGTGCTGTAGTTTCGGAGATCATCTGTTTAATAAAAATTGACGGAGACGACAGATAGATAGACAGACGTAAATGAGGGTCCACTTTTTTCGTACCCAAGTGGTCATGAAACGGCGAGAAAACAAAAGTTTCAAGTCACCCAATGGATTGTTTATTGAATAATGATAAAATAAGAATTATAATAACAATATTCAGAACATTTTGTTCGATAGTGGGTAATTCATAATTTTCGTCCTCTGTTTTCAAGCGACAAACTCATTCAAATCAAACAAATTTCTGCGTGACATTCTTCCTATGTATAAACATAAACATTTAAATATATATATATTTTACATTGTGCGTACTTGTGCTGGTTTTTACTTTATAGAGGTTATCACAAAACAAACATCGCAAATCTCTTTTGATGTTTCGATTTCGCAATGTTTCATTTTTTAGTAATTCAGTCTTGGGATTTTTCAATTTCTCAAGTTTTCAGTTTTTCGAATTTTGATTTTCACATTTCTCGATCTCTCTACTTTTCAATGTTTCAATTTCTCGATTTCTCCATCTTTCGATTTTTCACCTTCTCGCTTTTAGATTTTTCGGTTTTTCAATTTTTCGATTTCTAAAATTTTTGTTTTTTGATTTTTCAATTTTCCGGTTTTTATTTTTTTGTTTTTCAATATTTCGATTTCTCGACATCTCGGTTTTCGATTTTTAAAATTCTTCGACTTCCTTTTTCCAATTTGTCAATTTTCCAACATTTCATTCAATTTCGGGAATTTTTCAATTTCAGTATTTCTCAATTTTTCAGTTTTCATTTTTAATTTTTTTAAATTTTTGATTTTTCGATTTTTCGCCTTTTGCGTTTAGATTTTTCGGTTTTTTAAATTTTCGATTTTTCGATTTTTGTTGAGATTTCGATGTTTCGGTGTTTCAACTTTTCAGGGTCTCGATATCTCGGTTTGTCGATTTTTAAAATTTTTGATTTTTCGATTTTTCAATCTTCCGCTTTATATTTTTTTTATTTTACAGTTTTTTGATTTTTCAATTTTTCGATTTCTAAAATTTTTGTTTTTTGATTTTTCAATTTTCCGGTTTTTATTTTTTTGTTTTTCAATATTTCGATTTCTCGACATCTCGGTTTTCGATTTTTAAAATTCTTCGACTTCCTTTTTCCAATTTGTCAATTTTCCAACATTTCATTCAATTTCGGGAATTTTTCAATTTCAGTATTTCTCAATTTTTCAGTTTTCATTTTTAATTTTTTTAAATTTTTGATTTTTCGATTTTTCGCCTTTTGCGTTTAGATTTTTCGGTTTTTTAAATTTTCGATTTTTCGATTTTTGTTGAGATTTCGATGTTTCGGTGTTTCAACTTTTCAGGGTCTCGATATCTCGGTTTGTCGATTTTTAAAATTTTTGATTTTTCGATTTTTCAATCTTCCGCTTTATATTTTTTTTATTTTACAGTTTTTTGATTTTTCAATTTTTCGATTTCTCGACATTTCGGTTTTTTGATTTTTAGTCTTCCGACTTTTCGTTTTTTCGATTTCTGAGTTTTTCAACATTTCATTCAATTTTGAGAAATTTTGAATTCCTGGATTTTTAAATTTTTCTTTATTTCCATTTTTTGATTTCCAAATTTTCGATTTTCCGGTTTTTCGATTTTTCGATTTTTCAATTTTTCGACATTTGTTTTAGGATTTTTCAAATTTTCAATATTTAAATT